GTTAAAAAAACGTGATTCGTTACCAACAATAGCCCTTTAGTATTAAAGGGCGCCAACAACGTTGTTTTGTCGATAAAGTAGACAACAACTTTGGTTTACGGCATAATGAACTCATCATATGTGTTAACCAAATATTTATTCCAGGAAATGCAATGTTCAGTATTATTAAAATAAAAAATATAGATATTTTAATCACTCAATCTATATCAAAGTTCTTTTTAGCCAATCCTCTTTGTTTCCTTTTTTGTGTTACAATTTCATATTTTTTTTTAATAAAACATAAATCAGTCCTTTAAAGAATTCTAACAAATAATCAGGAAATCCATTCTGATAATCCTCCAAGGTATCTGGCTCCTCAAGCTTTTTTTTATTTTTTTTTACCTCATAACGTGATTGCCATACTTTGATTCCCAATGCTTCGCCAATTTTTGGTGATATTTTATTATCATCAAAATTATAGAATTGATCTTTAATTTGAATAATATTAACATGTTTTAACCTTAGAGCAGTTTTAAAATATAAGAGGCTTGGTGGTATAACAGAGCGTGGTTCTGATTTTGTTGACAATATTGTCTTTAAATCAATCAGAATATTTTTTTTATAATCATTATTTGTCGATTCTGAAATACTTAAAATCCAATTCCTATAAGTTTTAGAGATTCGTTAACTTCATTGTTATGTATATTTTCACATAAAGAGGGAGATCGTATATTTCTTTCAAAAAAATGACCTCCTTCTGAATTAAAACATTCTGAACAAATATAACGTGGTCTATATTCATCAGATTTGCTATTAACAATGGTACTTGTTAATAATTCATCAGAAGAAAAAGCTGGACAAGTTTTTAACCCAACACAGGGTGCTTGCACATTACGATCAACTATGCGTATAGAATGTTGAACACATGTTTCTCCACGGCTAAAAAAAAACTTAGATTTACTACAAAACAAGCAATGACGATAATAAATCCAACTCCTTTCAATAGACCGTTGTTGTTTAGTATGTGGTTAATGAAGCGACTTGTGATCAAACATAAAATGAGCATAACAGACACCTAAAGAATGTAAATTGTTTTTTTCCTTTGCTTTCAAAAACATTTCATTATCTATCTCCCATATACCAACTAGTTGGGTTAAAGGTCTCTGTCTCTCAGTTTGTTTTGAACAACATTGGATGCGACCATCGATTATATCAATAAGAACACAAGATGTCAAACTTTGATTAGAAACACTCTCAATTGAATATGTACTTCCTTCCACTGATTCTGTTGACTCCGGTTTTAATACTGAAATTGAATCAAGCTCTTCATTTTCAACTTCTAAATCTTCCAAAGTAAATTCCTTATTTTCGTCAGCATTAGCCATTATATGTGCCTTTTCAAAACTTGACTTATCTAAAATGAATGGGCATATTTCAACATCACAATCACTTATAGTACTTTCGGTTCCAAGATTATCAGATATCAAACTTTCACTAACCAAGCTATCATTATCCAACAAATAATCATCCTCATTAGAATTTACACACTCATAATTTCCATCTATAAAATTTAAAAAATTTGTTTCGCATAAATTTAAACTGATCGTTTCCTCCATTGTAATAATTATAAATTGTTATTTAGCATTACTTAATTCAAAATTTGTTTTATAAAATGTGTGAGAATTTGATGTTCTCAATAGCAGATTTTCTTTTAAAAAGAAAAAAACAGGAATTGATAACGATAATCTCTTAATCTCCTATATATATCTCATAAATAAACATTGCACAGAATTGTGACGAGACATGTAACGTGTAAAGTTGAATAAAATTTAAGTTGCTAATTTGCATTCTTAAAGTTTAGAATTGATAGAATATTCGTCAATTAAATCAATTAATGTTAAATTTTTCTCTAACGCTGGTGGCTTTTGAGTACGTTATATCTAAGAAATATATACCAACCAACTTTTTTATAACAGATTTTTAAACTTCAGTTAC